AATTTGTTCTTTTGAAACCAATGGCCAAAGCAAATTCGAAAAATGTCATTAAATTTTTAGAGTCTGAAGTTTTTCAAAAATTTGGTGTGCCACAATTAGTCCATTCTGATAATGGCAAACAATTTGTATCTGTTGAGTTCACTTCATTTTTAGAGAAATATGGTTGCAAACAGATTCGAAACGCGGTGTACTCTCCCCAAGCGAATGCTTCCGAGAGGGTCAATCGGACAATTATCGCGGCGATCAGATCGTACGTTTCGGAGGATCAAAAGGATTGGGATAAATATCTTTCCGCAATCGAATGTTCTTTAAGATCCACTTTGCACACATCAACCGGATTTACACCATATTTTTCACTATTTGGGACACACATGATAACACACGCGAGTGAATACGATTTGGCACACAAACTTGGGACTTTAGAAGACGGTACAGTAGATATAGTCACGAAACACGACATTTTGCAATTGGTTCGAGATAGGATTAAAAATAAACTGCACGATGTTTTTGAAAAATCTGCCACACACTACAACACACGATCACGCGAAGTTAATTTTAAACCGGGGCAGGAAATACTGAGACGGAACTTCATTTTGAGTGACGCATCCCGCCATCTTAATTCGAAGTTGTGTCAGAAGTTTGTGAAGTGTAGAGTTGTACGGAAGATAGGGACCTCACTATACGAAATTGAAGACCTCCAGGGAAAGAAATTAGGGGTCTATCATTCGAAAGATTTGCAGCATATGGTACCGACGAAATAGATTCGCCCGGCTTTTGTTTTGATTTATCAGGGTCCCGGTTCTTCCCCACTTCTCTTATTCTTCGGTTGACTTCCCGAATCAGTATGCTTCCGGCAGGCCTCCACCAACGTGTTCGGGTTTGTTATGTCACCCTCGTGTAAACATACCATAGACCATCTGTCATCAGGCAATGATCGATTATGATATCGATTAGTCGATTCCTTGCAAGCTTTTTATCGGACTAAGGTGCCCTTATTTCTTTCTCTTTTTGCATTGATTGCAATTTTGGCGTCATTTCAAAAGTGCAAAGCGAAAAAGAAAGACGTACAGGCCAATAAATCTGCAGTTGTGCAAAGTAACTAAATTAATAGTAGTGAAGTGAAAAGGTACAGCCTCAATTGAAATTTTAATTAATACCCCAATTGGAGTATTATTATATTTGGCAGGTTATTTGAGTTTTTCTTGAAATTGGCATAGCGGTATTTCCAACGGTACCCAACCGCGTGAGCACCTCAGTGTGTAGTTTTGGAAACCACGTGCCCTCATTCATAGCGGTATTTCATTCAAATTTCTGAAAAGTGAATCAAACCCAATTCAAGTCAGAACTTGTTGATGCCGGCTATCAATTGTGGATGTCATTTAGCCACACCGAAGCAGCAGTAAATTTGTGTATTGTGCATAACGGAATATCAAAATTGAACACCTTTGTGGATCATCAAACATTTAGTAAAATCAATTACCACCACCAACTCCATCGTCGTCCACAGCGCAAGTACATCCTGCTGGACATAGCAAATAGATGCATCAGGCTCCCGGTAATGTTTTGAGTTACGTACAACTGTAAGTAAAGAGACAGTCTGCGTCCATCTTTTGTGTCATCTGGTACCCTATCCAACCAGTCACAGACGGGAAGGTTAGGGACCACATATTTTTACCACATATCCTCGACGGTCAGCCGAGTACAGTTAGGCATTTATGGTCTATACCAAAATACTCCATATGCCACCAATATGTATTTTCAATTTTTACACTCGAAATAATCCAGTTCGTCCAAATTCCATTACATCATCATGTGTCAATTTAAAAGTCAACAATTTCAACCAAAATTAATGTAATCTATTTTTTTTTCTTTTGCAACATTTAATACTAAAATTTAATTTTCTGTTCAATAATAATATTTAAGTGTAATTGCCTGTGTCGACATACATATATTTAGAACATATATATACATATATAAGTTCACATAGATGTATGTTAATATAAGGATATATTACATAATAATTATTCAATATATTATATAATATACAGTATTTAATATATATACTGATACATATATACATGGTGCATACCTATATATATACGTATGTAATATATATTAATGTGTAAAATTAGGCCATATGAAGTTTAAGTTGGCTCCATCAACCGTTATGTATATATGTATGTACTTGAGTATGTATGTATTCATATATATATAAATTTAAAGAGAAAAATTCTCAACCCAATATTTCTTCTATTCATTTTTATTAATTTTAATTTAAACCTCTTTTTTTATATAATTTATATATATATAAGTTTTTCCTTTTTGAATATTTTCTGTTAAATGTTGATCCCTATTCGCAACCAAATTTAGTGTGAATATTTCAGGATAGACCCATTGAGCTCGATAGGTTATATATACGTCCTTTATAAAATAATTTAGTGCACAGTGGCACGAGAATTGGGATGAACATACAAATTTAATTCAAATTTTGTATGAACTTTCCTTAATTGTAATCATCGTTTTGAATTCATTTGTATTATACGTTAGATTTAAGTAAATCTAAGACTTGTTTTTCTTTGAATTAATGGAATAAAACTTAAAAGAATTTATGAAATGAAAAAAAATGAAAGCAATTAAATATTATAATATGTTTTAATAAATTATCAAAGGGGATAATGTAAAATAAGGGTGAAGTCAATATAGGTCATGGGGGTATCTCACCATAGTGAGAGACCAAAAAGGGGATTCACGTCGGAATCCATAGGGTGGGCGATGAAGGTATCCATCAACACCTGGATACCAGAAAACAGCACTGTCTTGAATATAACGCAACAACAATTTCTATTTTTTTTTTGAATTTTATTTTATATTAGTAACGCAATTTCTTGTTGTCTCTGTTATGCACACCACTGAGAGTGCCGACTGAGAAGAGCCGGAGCAAACATAAATAGATCGATACCACTGTCATCTAGGTATACTTAAACGATATCGACCTCTCGTTTTGAGAACGTGCATGTATAACAGAGTGAGTTACAACACAATCTCCGACCTTTTTATGTTTTTCTCAAAAATTTCTTTGGCAAAACTCTTCCCACAGCAATCAAAAACAACCGTAGGTGTAGCATGTCACATTATTGCAGACCTGTATGTTTCAGATTAGGTTCTTGTAAATTGATTTAAATTAACAGTTTAACCATAAGGACATCTCATACATCATATATTACCATTTTCCTTTGTTCATTAGTAAATTCATCAATTTTTAGGCCTGGAAGTATCGCATTAGATAGCAGCTTAAACAAGGTTTCTTCCCAGAATTTTTGTAGAAACTCGGCCATTTTGTCACCCATCACCTCAGTGCTAAGTTGAAATCTTAAGAAGTTTTTATAATAATACCTTTGAATCATATAAGTTTTTAATAGTGAATTTAAAACCACAAAAACCATTTTGTTTTCTGATTTAATCATCAGGTGAGTGTCACTCGATTTCTCAGTAAAGTTATTCAGAAATTTATTAGTGCTCAATTTTTTAGATAAGTGTCAAATTTCGGATTAAAACTCAGGCAAATTGATGAAACATTAACCATCCCATCGTATTCTTTTTTTTCAATTATTACAACTGGTAATATGAGCTCTTTTAGTTTCTCTATAAATCTTTAAAGTCTTCTCTTATTTAGATCGATTGTCTGACTTAATTGAGCGCACCCTCCTTAGTTTTAGTTTCGTTGATTGACATATAGTATTAAGCGCTTCGTAATTAGTTTGATCTTATTCAAAGATTTTCTTTCACTTTGCTTAATAAGTCTATAGTCCTTCCAAGGTCTTAGGAGCTATGGCTACAAACAACACTGAAAACCCTAGTGTGAGTGGCGATTCTGGTGAATCGGTTATGTGCAATGCTTGCGTTAATCCCGTAACCACAAAGTCACACATTTACAAAACAGATTGTGGACATGTATTTCACAAAAGCTGTCTACTATCGTGCACCAAAACTAGACCATACTGCCCGGTTTGTAACGCAAGGGTCAGTTTAGAACCTCCCACTCCTAGTGCCTCCATTATCACGACTAGGTCGCAGAAAAGATTGACCACCCAAAAAGCAGGTAGTCAGGAAGTGCGAGAAACAGAACACGCATCTACAGTTGCCGATGGTTCTCTAAATACCGTCCCTTTAGCTTCGAATACTACAAACACGAATCCAAGTTCAGATATTAGGGAAATGGTAACAACAATGCTTGCTGCGAATCAAGCACAGATGATGGCTTCGCTAGGGAATGAGATTTCTCGCTTGGTACAGTCTAGTTTAGAAGCCAACTTATCAAGATAAACTGCAGGTGTTGGAGATGGTAACCCTGCAATTACCAAAGCTAAAAAAGTGTAGCCAAATTTGAAATACCACTGTCAAAAATGGCCGAAATATCCCAAGCGAAGAGGGAGACGAAACTAAATTTAAGCCAACATCTTCATTTTGTTTATTTTTGTTGTTTTGCTTAATGTCACCTTTTATATAAATAGGCCCTTCTGGCCATTGTTTATTCCCTTTTTTGTTAGAACCCAAAAATAAGTAAGTGGTGTTAATTTTTATTGTTTTTAAATTAAATATTTTTATTTTTTTTGCAAACTTAATTTTTGTTAAATTTTTAAAATTCTTACAGAGAATAAACAACTACAACTAAACTCACTATTTGTAAACAAACAAACAAACCAAATAAACGCAGCTTTTTTATTTTGCCGAAATCCTGCCAGTCTTGTCATTTGGGAGCCAGCCGAGTTTAGGTTTATTCCTGGAAATAACAAAAAAGGACAACTTTATTCTTTATTTTTATTCTTTGTTTATTTGTTTTTTGTCAATTTAATTTCTGTCGTCAATTGTCTTGTTGAATTTGTGTTTGCTGTTGCTGTTTTTTGAAACGGACGGACATTTTATAAAAACAGCTGTCACCACTTTAAGTCACAAAAAAAAAAAATAATTCTTACCTGTATTCAAGAAATTCTGCCGGTTTTATGCCACAAAACCAAGATCTGACCAGAAGAACCAGTGGACGCAGCACTCAAGGAATTCCGCCAGCCCGATATAACCCTGACACTTACGATATGTCTGTCGTTCGCTCACCAACAGGAGATACGCCTACCAGCAGCCACCAAAAACAGCAACAAATGCCAGCTGCAGCCGCAGCAGTCAATACACCGCCCGCCAATACTTCTAAATCTTCTTCTTCTTCTCAGTTACAGCTCCAAAAACCGCCTTCAAATACACCAGCCAAAACACCAAATCCTGCAAATAAATTTGCCGAGATGAGAAAACTCATGAAATTTGAAATGGAACAGATGCAACGTCAGATGAAAGCAATGCAAGACGAATTTTTAGCAACACAAGCAAAAATGCAAGCACAACTATTAAATACGTCACAGCAGTTTGCTTCTTTGCAAAACACAATGTCGCAGCAAGCATTGCCTACACTGACGTCACAACCGCCAATCTCAAAACAAACGACACAACAACCGCCATTGAATACGCCGCAACAGCCACAAAGGAATCTGCCACCACAGCCGCCAATGAATCTGCCACCACAGCCGCCATTGAGTCTGCCGCCACAGCCGCCATTGAATCTGCCATTACATTCAGTAGTTTTGCCAACACAAACAGTACCGCCACCAACAAGTCAACATTTGCAGACTTAAGTGCATCAACTGCCGCCATTGTCTATCAACACAGATGAGTCTTTTCCAAATTCACTTTCTAATAACTCCAACGGAAATGCACATAAAAAAATGTATCCCTTGCCTATTTTTTCAGGTCTTCCAGAGGAGTGGCAGGCATTTTTCGAAGCCTACGAGAGCACCACAGCAGAATTTGGTTACTCCAATCTTCATAATATCATGCGTTTGAGAGATGCATTGAAGGGCCGTGCAAGGGAAACAGTGGAATCCATGTTGGGAAGTTCTGCCAACGTCAGCGCCATTTTGGAAATTCTGCAGGAAACATTTGGTCGACCAGAGCAACTTATCCGAAGCCAAGTAGAAAAAGTCCGAGCCATTCCCCCGCTGGTAGATGATAATTTGGATGCACTTGTCAACTTTGCCAACAAACTCTCCAATATGGCCACTTTCCTAAAAAACGCCAAGGGTGAACACCATGTATCCAATCCATCGTTGCTGAGTGAGCTAGTGTCCAAACTGCCAATAAACCGCCAAATGCAATGGGCCGAAAAATGTCTGCAACTCCAGCACCCCGCCACTATAGTTGATTTCAGCGATTGGTTGGGAATATTACGCCGTCTCGCACATATGGTCCACGACGCACAGCCAATTTCACCAACCTCGTCCAATCGCCGACACACACAAACACAACAAAAAAAAACCAGTAAGGAAAGTAGTAAAGTCGGACGGGGCCGACTATATGATACCCTTCACCACTATGGGTATATTAAACAGGACTATTAGCATGAAATTGGATGAAATAAAATATGTGATATTTATCTAAAAGTGAATCTACGTAGATCTATCCATAAAGTATGTAAATCGACTTCAAACAAATATAAATAGGTCATCCGTTGGGCTATGTCTGTACTTCTAGAAAACGCAACTACATAATTTTATGCTCTATTTTGTACGTTGTGCAAAATTTGATGTCAAACTGACTAACATGGGAAGTTTGATGCCCAATTTACTTGAAATCGGGCGAAAATATATATGGAAGCTCTATCCAAATATTAAGCGATTTCAAACAAACTTGTCACAGGATAGGTTATACTAATTTCAGAACGTTTTGTTCCTACTGGTTCCTTGGTGCGTCAATTACTTAAAATCAATCTATAATAAAAGGGAGCTATATCTAAATCTGTACCGATTTTCACGAAACTTGCCAGACATCATTCCAGACCCAATTCAGTACGTTATGCCAAATTTCGTGCAAATCGAAAGGTATATAGGGACTTTGGTGCACCATTTACATAAAATCGGATGAAACTATATATGGGAGCTATATATAAATCAGGACCGATTTTCACGAAACTTGCAGACATCATTCTAGGCTCAATTCAGTATGTTATGCCAAATTTCGTGCAAATCGAAGGATATATAGGGACTTAGGTGCACCATCTACATAAAATCGGACGAAACTATATGTGGGAGCTATATCTAAATCAGGACCGATTTTCTCGAAACTTGGCAGACATCACTCTAGGCTCAATTCAGTACTTTATGCCAAATTTCGTGCAAATCGAAGGATACATAGGGACTTTGGTGCACCATTTACATAAAATCGAACAAAACTATATATGGGAGCTATATCTAAATCAGAACCGATTTTCACGAAACGTGGCAGACATCATTCTAGGCTCAATTCAGTATGTTATGCCAAATTTCGTGCAAATCGAAGGATATATAGGAAGATTGGTGCACCATTTACATGAAATCGGACGAAACTATATATGGGAGCTATATCTAAATCTGGACCGATTTTCACGAAACTTGGCAGACATTATTCTAGACCTAAATGATTAGGCTGTACCAAATTTCGTGCAAATCAAAAGATATATAGGGACTTTGGGGCACCATTTACATGTAATCGGACGAAACTATATATGGGAGCTATATCTAAATCTGGACCGATTTTCTCGAAACTTGGCAGACATCATTCTAGGCCCAATTCAGTACGTTATACCAAATTTCGTGCAAATCGAAAGATATAAAGGGACTTTAGGGCACCATTTACATGATATCGGACGAAACTATATATGGGAGCTATATCTAAATCTGGACCGATTTTCTCGAAACTTGGCAGACGTCACTCTAGGCTTAATTCAGTACGTTATGCCAAATTTCGTGCAAATCAAAAGATATACAGGGACTTTGGGGCACCATTTACATGAAATCGGACGAAACTATATATGGGAGCTATATCTAAATCTGGGCCGATTTTCACGAAACTTGGCAGACATCATTATAGGCCTAAATGATTAGCCTGTACCAAATTTCGTGCAAATCGAAAGACATATAGGGACCGTTTACATTAAATCGGTTAAATATATATATGGGAGCTATATCTAAATCTGAACCGATTTTTCCCAATTTCAATAGGGTTCGTCCTTGGGCCGAATAAGTGACCTGGGAACAACTCTAGTTTAGTAAAAACGATCAAATTTTTCTGAAATTTTTTCCAGAGGTAGGTATTTTTACCCTAATTATGGGGATATCTTTTTTTCTTGGGGGACGTACCCGGTTACCCGGTTATTTGACCCGGAAGTTCGGGTACGGGTACCCGGTTATATCCGGTTCTACGGATCCGGTTAATATAATATGGGTATCATTTTAAAGGTTATAAAAATACCTTTCCATTGAGTGGTAATATGATGGGGTTATCTCAAACCATTTTGGGGATATAGTCAAAAAACTGGGTTTTGGTCCCCGATTTTTTTGAAAAACTCCCTAAAAGTCGAACTTCGGTCCATTATAGTCCCTCTCCAAACAGTACCCAAATGATAGACCACAATTTGCCCTTTCCAAAATGGTGCGATATGTGGCTGTATCTTTTGTGGATCAAAAGATATGGGCCTTAGAACCCTATAAAACAAGGAAAATCTTTCTACATGACAGAATCTCCTTTTAAATAGCATGGTGTTTTTTGGGTGACCGGCCTTCGGCCGGGGATTTAAGACTTTCTCCTATGGACAGATGCCAACACCGGCTAACGCGGCAGAAACTCCTTCTAAATAGAATATTTTTTTGTGTAGCCGGCCTTCGGCCGGGTATTTAAGACTTTCTCCTATGGACAGATACCAACACCGGCTACGCGACAGAATCTCTTGTTAAATGGAATACTTTTTTGGGTGACCGGCCTTCGGCCGAGGATTTAAGACTTTCTCCTATGGACAGATGCCAACACCGGCTAACGCGGCAGAAAATCCTTCTAAATAGAATATTTTTTTGTGTAGACGGCCTTCGGCCGGGGATTTAAGACTTTCTCCTATGGACAGCTACCAACACCGGCTACGCGACAGAATCTCTTGTTAAATGGAATATTTTTTTGGGTGACCGGCCTTCGGCCGGAGATTTAAGACTTTCTCCTATGGTCAGATGCCAACACCGGCTAACGCGGCAGAAAATCCTTCTAAATAGAATATTTTTTGTGTAGCCGGCCTTCGGCCGGGGATTTAAGACTTTCTCCTATGGACAGATACCAACACCGGCTACGCGACAGAATTTTCTTGTTTTTGTAGGGTTCTAAGGCCCATATCTTTTGATCCACAATAGATACAGCCACATATCGCACCATTTTGGAAAGGGCAAATTGTGGTCTATCATTTGAGTTTGGGTAAGAGAGGTACTATAATGGGCCCAAGTTCGACTTTTAGGGAGTTTTTCAAAAAAATCGGGGACCAAAACCCAGTTTTTTGACTATATCTCCAAAATGGTTTGAGATAACCTCATCATATTACCACTCAATGGAAAGGTATTTTTATAACCTTTAAAATGATACCCATATTATATTAACCGGATCCGTAGAACCGGATATAACCGGGTACCCGTACCCGAACTTCCGGGTCAAATAACCGGGTAACCGGGTACGTCCCCCAAGGAAAAAAGATATCCCCATAATTAGGGTAAAAATACCTACCTCTGGAAAAATTTTCAGAAAAATCTGATCGTTTTTACTAAACTAGAGTTAAGCCGTGACCTGTGCCAAATTTCATCCAATTCGGATCATAAATGCGACCTGTACTTTGTTTACAATTTAACATGGACATACAGACGGACGGACGGACATGCATAAATCGACTTAGAAAGTGATTCTATGCATATTCTCAAAAGGAACCATGTGTCTATCTCGATTATTTTTGCCTGTTACAAACATATGCACAAAGACATAATACCCTGTACCACAGTGTGGTGAAGGGTATAAATACGCATATGTCGCTGTCAGTTCGAGCTGTCCAATTTGTCAGGGAGAGTGCAACAATATAAAAATCTGTCCACACTTTTTAAAAATGGCCATCGATGACCAAATCAAATTAAAACTTGTTTTTGTTGTTTAAAAAGAGGCCACCAGCTTAAAAATTGCCACTATAAGCGTCGTTGTGGCATAAATGATTGCCAAAAATCACACCACCAATTGTTGCACAAAACACTCGCGACGCCATCCCAGGAACAGAACCGAACATTACCTACACACGATTTGGAGCCACGAACGAACACCCCATCTCTTCCCGACGCACCACCGTCTCAAACACAACGAAGAAATTGTCATGCCGCCCACTACACCGAAAACGTATTGTTCCAAATTTTGCCCGTGACGTTATACGGAACACACAAACAGATAACGACGTACGCGTTCATTGACGACGGCGCCAATGTGTCCATGCTGGACGAGGGCGTTGCTCGCCAACTCGGAATACACGGAAAACCGGAGTTTTTAGAAATTCAGTGGCTTAATAACCAAAGCGTAAGCGAAAAAACTGAAAAAATTAATCTGACAATTAGTGGTGTCGGTGAGTACAACAACAAGTACCCGATAACCAATGTTTACATTTCGTCCAATCTGTCATTGCCAATACAGAGTTGCCATCTAGCTCATTTAATTAAATCCCGTGAAATCGACCAAATCGCCGAAATCCCATTCCGGGATTATTCGAATGTTCAACCTAAACTAATATTAAGCTTGCAACATTCATTTTTGACAGTTCCCTTGGAAGCTCCTCGTATGATGACCGATGTTGGACCAACGAGATTAGGCGCCGTAATATATGGACCGATCCCAGGCGAGAAGAGTTCCAATCTTAAGCGGGCTTTACACGTTAGGAAACGTTTCGAGGAAGAAAATTGTGACTTGCTTCAGGAAATGCATACCATGATGCGGCAATATTTCGACGTGGAGACATTGGGTACCAAGGTAAATGTGACACCAATTCTGTCCATAGATGATGAACGAGCGTTAAAAATATTAAAAGAAAACACGAAAAGAATTGATGGGCGATATTAAAAGAAGTGTCCGCTTTTGTGGAAAGAACATTTTTCTCCAATTCCAGAATCGTACAATTTGTCGTACAACCGATTGCTGTGTGTGGAACGAAAAATGGCAAAGGACAGTGTATATGCAGCTCAATATTGCAAAAAAATAAGAGATTACGAGGAAAAAGGATATTGCCGTAAACTTTCAGTAGCAGAACGAGAAAGAAGGAGCGATCGAACGTTTTATTTGCCACATTTTGGCGTTAAAAATCCCAACAAAGATGGGATTCGTATCGTCTTCGATGCTGCTGCTGAAGTTCAACAATTTTCATTAAATAAAGCCTTATTACCTGGACCTGACATAAATAACTCTCTAATCTCTATTCTTTTTAAATTCAGGGAATTTCCTGTAGCCGTGTGCGGAGATATACAAGAGATGTTCCACCAAATTGTTATCGCCAAAGAAGATCAGGACAGTCAGCGATTTCTATGGAGAAATGGGGATCCCAGTCAACCCTTAGAAACTTATGTAATGGAACGGATGATTTTTGGAGCCACTTGTTCGCCCACCATAGCCCAATATGTGAAAAACCTAAATGCCCGAAGGTTTATAAATGAGTCGCCAAGAGCAGTACAAGGAATCATCGATCGTCATTACGTAGACGATTACGTCGACTGTTTCCAGACTGAAGGTGAGGCAGTTGATGTGGTACGTGATGTCATAAAAATTCACAAAGAGGGTGGATTTAATCTCCGCAACATCAAATCTAATTCCCTTGTTTTACAACGTATGTTTGGCAACCCTATTTCTGATGAAATTGATGGCAACTCCATTGGCTGCCAAAATCAGATGTTTTTTGTTTTGAATTAAAATTGCACAAAGTGGATGAAAAAATATTGAAGTTGCAAAAAGTGCCAACGAAACGCGAAATGTTGTCTTTAAATATGTCCGTATTCGATCCATTCGGGTGTCTTGGTGATTTCATGGTGACGTCGAAGATAATTATGCAAAATGTGTGGAAAAGTTGTATAAAGTGGGACGAGGAGTTGCCGGCCGCGATTTATAGCCGCTGGATGACCTGGCTGGAGGAATTGCCTAAATTAAAGGATTTCAAAGTTCCGAGGTGTTACAGTGATTGATTTTTTAATGGTATAGTAGATTTGCATGTGTTTGTGGATGCCAGTGAAGATGCAATGGCTGCTGTGACATACTGGCGTATAGTAACAAATTGTGGTGTAAGTGTTGTGTTCGTTATGGGCAAGACGAGCTGTGCCCCAACAAGATACCATACTATACCTAAGCATGAGTTACAAGCAGCAGTAATTGGAGTGCGAATGAAGGAAAAAAATTTGGAAAATCATTTGAAGAATATTAATAACATTTATTTTTGGTCAGATTCCTCAACAGTGATAAGTTGGATCCGTTCAGAACACCGTACATACAAACAATATGTGGCAAATAGAGTGTAGGAGATTCTGGAAAGCAGCCGTATGGAGCAGTGGCGGTGGTGTCCAGGAGCGGATAACCCAGCTGACGAAGGGACCCGTGCTAAAGGACCCAAGAAGTACCAGCCAGAAGGACGTTGGAAAAATGGGCCAGAATTCCTGAGAAAAGAAGTATTGGCCGGACGAGGGACAAATTGGAACCTGTGTGGATCACAGCAAAACAGAGCTAAGAAACAAACCATTTTGGGGATATAGTCAAAAAACTGGGTTTTGGTCCCCGATTTTTTGAAAAACTCCCTAAAAGTCGAACTTCGGTCCATTATAGTCCCTCTCCAAACAGTACCCAAATGATAGACCACAATTTGCCCTTTCCAAAATGGTGCGATATGTGGCTGTATCTTTTGTGGATCAAAAGATATGGGCCTTAGAACCCTATAAAACAAGGAAAATCTTTCTACATGACAGAATCTCCTTTTAAATAGCATGGTGTTTTTTGGGTGACCGGCCTTCGGCCGGGGATTTAAGACTTTCTCCTATGGACAGATGCCAACACCGGCTAACGCGGCAGAAACTCCTTCTAAATAGAATATTTTTTTGTGTAGCCGGCCTTCGGCCGGGTATTTAAGACTTTCTCCTATGGACAGATACCAACACCGGCTACGCGACAGAATCTCTTGTTAAATGGAATACTTTTTTGGGTGACCGGCCTTCGGCCGAGGATTTAAGACTTTCTCCTATGGACAGATGCCAACACCGGCTAACGCGGCAGAAAATCCTTCTAAATAGAATATTTTTTGTGTAGACGGCCTTCGGCCGGGGATTTAAGACTTTCTCCTATGGACAGCTACCAACACCGGCTACGCGACAGAATCTCTTGTTAAATGGAATATTTTTTTGGGTGACCGGCCTTCGGCCGGAGATTTAAGACTTTCTCCTATGGTCAGATGCCAACACCGGCTAACGCGGCAGAAAATCCTTCTAAATAGAATATTTTTTGTGTAGCCGGCCTTCGGCCGGGGATTTAAGACTTTCTCCTATGGACAGATACCAACACCGGCTACGCGACAGAATTTTCTTGTTTTTGTAGGGTTCTAAGGCCCATATCTTTTGATCCACAATAGATACAGCCACATATCGCACCATTTTGGAAAGGGCAAATTGTGGTCTATCATTTGAGTTTGGGTTAGAGAGGTACTATAATGGGCCCAAGTTCGACTTTTAGGGAGTTTTTCAAAAAAATCGGGGATCAAAACCCAGTTTTTTGACTATATCTCCAAAATGGTTTGAGATAACCTCATCATATTACCACTCAATGGAAAGGTATTTTTATAACCTTTAAAATGATACCCATATTATATTAACCGGATCCGTAGAACCGGATATAACCGGGTACCCGTACCCGAACTTCCGGGTCAAATAACCGGGTAACCGGGTACGTCCCCCAAGGAAAAAAGATATCCCCATAATTAGGGTAAAAATACCTACCTCTGGAAAAATTTTCAGAAAAATCTGATCGTTTTTACTAAACTAGAGTTAAGCCGTGACCTGTGCCAAATTTCATCCAATTCGGATCATAAATGCGACCTGTACTTTGTTTACAATTTAACATGGACATACAGACGGACGGACGGACATGCATAAATCGACTTAGAAAGTGATTCTATGCATATTCTCAAAAGGAACCATGTGTCTATCTCGATTATTTTTGCCTGTTACAAACATATGCACAAAGACATAATACCCTGTACCACAGTGTGGTGAAGGGTATAAATACGCATATGTCGCTGTCAGTTCGAGCTGTCCAATTTGTCAGGGAGAGTGCAACAATATAAAAATCTGTCCACACTTTTTAAAAATGACCATCGATGACCAAATCAAATTAAAACTTGTTTTTGTTGTTTAAAAAGAGGCCACCAGCTTAAAAATTGCCACTATAAGCGTCGTTGTGGCATAAATGATTGCCAAAAATCACACCACCAATTGTTGCACAAAACACTCGCGACGCCATCCCAGGAACAGAACCGAACATTACCTACACACGATTTGGAGCCACGAACGAACACCCCATCTCTTCCCGACGCACCACCGTCTCAAACACAACGAAGAAATTGTCATGCCGCCCACTACACCGAAAACGTATTGTTCCAAATTTTGCCCGTGACGTTATACGGAACACACAAACAGATAACGACGTACGCGTTCATTGACGACGGCGCCAATGTGTCCATGCTGGACGAGGGCGTTGCTCGCCAACTCGGAATACACGGAAAACCGGAGTTTTTAGAAATTCAGTGGCTTAATAACCAAAGCGTAAGCGAAAAAAACTGAAAAAAATTAATCTGACAATTAGTGGTGTCGGTGAGTACAACAACAAGTACCCGATAACCAATGTTTACATTTCGTCCAATCTGTCATTGCCAATACAGAGTTGCCATCTAGCTCATTTAATTAAATCCCGTGAAATCGACCAAATCGCCGAAATCCCATTCCGGGATTATTCGAATGTTCAACCTAAACTAATATTAAGCTTGCAACATTCATTTTTGACAGTTCCCTTGGAAGCTCCTCGTATGATGACCGATGTTGGACCAACGAGATTAGGCGCCGTAATATATGGACCGATCCCAGGCGAGAAGAGTTCCAATCTTAAGCGGGCTTTACACGTTAGGAAACGTTTCGAGGAAGAAAATTGTGACTTGCTTCAGGAAATGCATACCATGATGCGGCAATATTTCGACGTGGAGACATTGGGTACCAAGGTAAATGTGACACCAATTCTGTCCATAGATGATGAACGAGCGTTAAAAATATTAAAAGAAAACACGAAAAGAATTGATGGGCGATATTAAAAGAAGTGTCCGCTTTTGTGGAAAGAACATTTTTCTCCAATTCCAGAATCGTACAATTTGTCGTACAACCGATTGCTGTGTGTGGAACGAAAAATGGCAAAGGACAGTGTATATGCAGCTCAATATTGCAAAAAAATAAGAGATTACGAGGAAAAAGGATATTGCCGTAAACTTTCAGTAGCAGAACGAGAAAGAAGGAGCGATCGAACGTTTTATTTGCCACATTTTGGCGTTAAAAATCCCAACAAAGATGGGATTCGTATCGTCTTCGATTCTGCTGCTGAAGTTCAACAATTTTCATTAAATAAAGACTTATTACCTGGACCTGACATAAATAACTCTCTAATCTCTATTCTTTTTAAATTCAGGGAATTCCCTGTAGCCGTGTGCGGAGATATACAAGAGATGTTCCACCAAATTGTTATCGCCAAAGAAGATCAGGACAGTCAGCGATTTCTATGGAGAAATGGGGATCCCAGTCAACCCTTAGAAACTTATGTAATGGAACGGATGATTTTTGGAGGCACTTGTTCGCCCACCATAGCCCAATATGTGAAAAACCTAAATGCCCGAAGGTTTATAAATGAGTCGCCAAGAGCAGTACAAGGAATCATCGATCGTCATTACGTAGACGATTACGTCGACTGTTTCCAGACTGAAGGTGAGGCAGTTGATGTGGTACGTGATGTCATAAAAATTCACAAAGAGGGTGGATTTAATCTCCGCAACATCAAATCTAATTCCCTTGTTTTACAACGTATGTTTGGCAACCCTATTTCTGATGAAATTGATGGCAACTCCATTTTTGATGATGGAATGGAACGGGTACTCGGTATTCATTGGCTGCCAAAATCAGATGTTTTTTGTTTTGAATTAAAATTGCACAAAGTGGATGAAAAAATATTGAAGTTGCAAAAAGTGCCAACGAAACGCGAAATGTTGTCTTTAAATATGTCCGTATTCGATCCATTCGGGTGTCTTGGTGATTTCATGGTGACGTCGAAGATAATTATGCAAAATGTGTGGAAAAGTTGTATAAAGTGGGACGAGGAGTTGCCGGCCGCGATTTATAGCCGCTGGATGACCTGGCTGGAGGAATTGCCTAAATTAAAGGATTTCAAAGTTCCGAGGTGTTACAGTGATTGATTTTTTAATGGTATAGTAGATTTGCATGTGTTTGTGGATGCCAGTGAAGATGCAATGGCTGCTGTGGCATACTGGCGTATAGTAACAAATTGTGGTGTAAGTGTTGTGTTCGTTATGGGCAAGACGAGCTGTGCCCCAGCAAGATACCATACTATACCTAAGCATGAGTTACAAGCAGCAGTAATTGGAGTGCGAATGAAGGAAAAAATTTTGGAAAATCATTTGAAGAATATTAATAACATTTATTTTTGGTCAGATTCCTCAACAGTGATAAGTTGGATCCGTTCAGAACACCGTACATACAAACAATATGTGGCAAATAGAGTGTAGGAGATTCTGGAAAGCAGTCGTATGGAGCAGTGGCGGTGGTGTCCAGGAGCGGATAACCCAGCTGACGAAGGGACCCGTGCTAAAGGACCCAAGAAGTACCAGCCAGAAGGACGTTGGAAAAATGGGCCAGAATTCCTGAGAAAAGAAGTATTGGCCGGACGAGGGACAAATTGGAACCTGTGTGGATCACAGCAAAACAGAGCTAAGAAACAAATACAAAGTTTTGGTGGCTTGCCAGGTATGTTTTTGTATTCCAGATATTAATAGATTTTCAAAATATCGTAGGCTGAAACGGGCAATGGCGTGGACATTCCGATTCTTTGAAAATATGAAGAGAAAATCAGTGGTGTCGGCTGATTTGACGGTGGAAGAAGAAGCACGGGCAGAAATGTATCTCTGTCGCTGCGTACAGCAAGAAGTATATGGGGATGAAATTCTTGACATACAGAGAACTGGATCAGTGTCTGCCAACAGCTCCATAAAGTCTTTAAATTCACAAATTGGAAGTGATGGTTTGCTTCGGGTATCTGGAAGAATAGAAAATGCTGCTTTTTTGTCCCTGGATACCAGACGACCAATAATTCTACACAAAGGTCATCGCTTTACACTTTGCTGGTGGAATTTTACCATTCTCGTTTTTGTCACATAAATGTTGCCACTACAATGAGCGAAATTCGTTTGAGATTTTGGATTCCGTCACTTCGTCAACTTCTAAGAAGCGTTCAGTCCCGATGCCTTGTCTGCAAGATTCGTAGAGCCAAACCAATTCAACCGCAAATGGCCCCGTTATCCTTGGAACGTGTCACACCTTATGTCAGAGCCTTTACCTACACAGGACTTGACTATTTTGGTCCTGTAACAGTGTCAATCCGGAGACAACGCGAAAAGAGGTGGGTGGCACTGTTTACATGCCCTTCAGTTCGCGCTGTCCACTTGGAAATTGCAACAGACCTGTCGAGTGATTCCTGCCTAATGTGTATTCGGAACTTCATCAATCGAAGAGGCGTCCCAGAGGTGATAAGAAGCGACAATGGGACGAATTTCGTTGGCATAGCAAAGGAGCTTCAAGGTATAACCAATTTTTTAGACACTAATTCCGTTTCTTCTGGTCTGACAGCTCTTGGAATAAAATGGGTCTACAATACGCCAGTGAATCCCAGCGAAGGCGGAGTATGGGAGCGTCTTGTCCAATCTGTTAAGAAGGCTCTTTACATCATGCTAAAGGAGCAAGCCCCAAAACTGGAGACTTTACAAGCATTCCTGATTGAAGCGGAGAATATGGTCAACAGCAGGCCACTTACACATTTGCCAGTTACTCCAGAAGACCCAGATCCATTGACTCCAAACCACTTTCTGCTAGGATGTACCAATTCAACCCAGACTCCAGCACCGTTTGAGCCTAGACTGATGTGTTTAAGGAAGCAGTGGCGCGTCACCCAAAATTTGAAGAATGGCATGTGGCATCAGTGGCTTCGGGAATATCTTCCAGAATTAACTCGAAGAACAAAATGGTGTCTTCCTTCTCGGTCGTTGGATGTTGGTTGCCTTGTGTTTGTTTGTGATCCAGAGATGGCTCGGAGTCAATGGAGACGAGGACGAGTCATCGAAGTATTCAGGGGCAAAGACGGAGTGGCACGATCAGCCAAGGTGAGAACGAGTGCCGGTGTATACCACAGACCTGTGTCCAAACTTGCCATTTTGGACGTGGAAGCGGCTGGAGACGGAGTTGGTGAAGCCTCCCCCTCTGGGTCAGTTCACGGGGGTGGGGATGTTGGAGATGGTAACCCTGCAATTACCAAAGCTAAAAAAGTGTAGCCAAATTTGAAATACCACTGTCATAAATGGCCGAAATATCCCAAGCGAAGAGGGAGACGAAACTAAATTTAAGCCAACATCTTCATTTTGTTTATTTTTGTTGTTTTGCTTAATGCCACCTTTTATATAAATAGGCCCTTCTGGCCATTGTTTATTCCCTTTTTTGTTAGAACCCAAAAATAAGTAAGTCGTGTTAATTTTTATTGTTTTTAAATTAAATATTTTTATTTTTTTTGTAAACTTAATTTTTGTTAAATTTTTAATTCTTACAGAGAATAAACAACTACAACTAAACTCACTATTTGTAAACAAACAAACAAACCAAATAAACGCAGCTTTTTTATTTTGCAAATATTTTCACAATATAACAGTTTGATCAAACTGTCAAAAAACAAAAATATATTTGCTCGATATTTTCCAAAAAATTATGGAAGAGGAGCAGCTTCAATTATTGTATTGTACGAAGAAAATAAAGTTAAAAAAATAAGAAAAGGTCATGGGTTCGTGAATGAGTGCGTGATTGTGTATATTGTAAGGCCATCCAAGAATATTCTGTGGATTCTGTTCAAAATTTCCCTTCAACTCGTCGCTCGGAAAGTGGTTATAGTAGTGATATTGATCGTGGTGGTGGAGCAACAGCAGCAACAAGCACTATTTTCCAATATGTTAATGAGTATTTGGGATGTTTGATATTGAAAATGTCGGCCAATTTTTTTACGGTAGCCCCCATATAGCGGTATCCCAAATTTAAGGCTTTTCTTATTTTTTAACTAATCAGTGTGGAAAAGTACCCTGTGCAAAGTTTTATCGCTATCGGAGAAATATTTAATGCCTTTTGTGCATCATTTACATAAAATCGGTGGAAACTGTATCACTCAAGACTCAATTCAGTATGCTATGCCAAATTTCGTGCAAATCCAAAGAAATATAGGGGCTTTAATGCACCATTTACACAAAATATGACGAAAATATGTGTGGGAGCTATGACTGAATCTGAACCGATTTCAACAAAAACTTAACACACGTCACCCCGGACGCTATACAAATTTTAGTTTCAATCTGATAATTATTCGCTTTGTTGTATGACAATTGTGTTGTATTTACGTCCTTTTGTTTCAGAAAATATCAAGTCAAAAGAACGTAACTGACATAAAATCTTAAAAATCTTTTGTTTTTGCAAAATAGTCAGGCTGAATCCCAGTTCGTTGTTTTTATAAAAAACAACTATTTATTAGTGGGGAAAAAACTAAGGGAACTGATGAGGATTAGTGGCCTGATCCGAAACTATAGTTTTCCCTGCCTTACCC